GAGCAGGCAGGCAAGGCGTATGAGGAACGGCATAACAACGGAACAATAATATCTATCAATATCTGCCAAAAACGCATGCATCAACATGGCAGTTCGTACTCGTGAGACCGAACGAAAATTAGACCGCAATTGGGCAGGTATGGATCCACGCGCCCATTGGGCTAGTCAAGGGCCTCTCATAGCTAAGGTCAGTGTATAATATCCGGTAATAGATTATTTTCCCTACATTGGCGGAAAAAAAAGTTGATGCTTGGTCTAGGTGTTCTAGGATACCGAACTATGATAGAAATTGCGTGAAAGTGCAGTGCCAGTTATTCAGGGTCTCCATTAAGGGGGCGCTGCGATCGCATAACATTTTCTCGTCCGAATGCTTCTGTGGATTGAAGAATGAATGTCTTAGAGGAATCAAAAGTTCACTAAGAGGTTGATTTCCCAAGCTTAACCACAGAGAAATCATGTGCAATTATTCTGAATCGCGTCTGAAGAATGTATATTCTGGTGTTCAACGTCTCAGTTTTTCAATTCAGGAATATTTTGAGGAGTTGCCTATTTCCCCGTATTGTATATCTTGTGCGATAGGTATTTCTGGAAGTAAGAGGAAAATAAAAATTTCTCTCGTCGGAGCTTGCAGTGAATTGAAAGGGAAATGAACAGCAGAACAACGTTGAGCATCCACAACATCTGTTCAATTCTCTATTATTCACACTCTGGCGGGAAAAATAAGAAAAATAAAGTTTATTCTGAAAAAGATTAAAGAGAAACGTCCCGTCGGATCGCACACAAGGACAGCAATACAAAAAAAGACTGGGAATTCCCGGAACATTCCTATCTGATAAGATAACCGGAAGGCACCCAAGGACGATCTCACGGTCCCGACCCTCCCCCAGTCTTCACCGACGATGGGGAAAATCGACTCGTCGACTTCGCGATGTCGAAGACATGGTTATGGGCTCAGGCTGGACCAGATGCTGGACCCACTCAGGCAGATTCTGGACGACTGTAGGAAGTTCACCTTTAGGAGCCTTCCGAGACTGATCCCATTCTCAGATAATAGCCTGAAGAGGTAGACGAAGGTTTCTCCTGAGGCATTCCCTTGTGTCTCTTCGAACTCCAGAAGCCCTCACCGCCAAAGTTGGAGTTGCAGAGTTTATGACTTCACCAAAAGTCACAGAAAGGCTCATCTTGAATTATTTTGATAGTCTCAAGAATTTTATTGGTACATGGACACTTCATTCCCTTGAGAATGCTCATTAAATAATCAACTGTAATGAAATAGTTTTGTAATCTTGGAATAAACTATGCAATTTTTTTTTAATCAGTAAGGTACCGAAATAATATCACTTCAGCTGCCGCGATCCGCTCGTTGGACTTTCGAGTCCAACGAACTGACGCGATCTGATCGGGACATCAAGCCTTATTGGAAAAGTGGGATCTACTGTTCCAGACCAGCTTAGCTGCTCAATTACATGCTGCAAAATGTGTGAAATTATATAATCGTCATTCTGGAACCCTTTCGAATCATTTCAGTGAAAACCAGACTCCAGAATGACGCTCCGTTTCCGAGCAGGAATTTTTTTAAAATTCGAAACTGACTTGCACATGTCCCAGATACTCACACTCACCCTATTAATCAGAAAGACGGTTCTGCTTTTATCATAAAAATCAGTTTTGGAAGAGAAGTACATAAAACTTTGCAAAAACATCTCCTGGTTTCTTGCACTCTCTTTCAGCTGCTAAGATTTTCGGAAAGGAAGTACAAAGATCCACGTCAAGTTATACAATCCAGAGCTTTTCTCAACATTTTACATCTGTCTATGACTCGTGCAGCATGCACACTGAGAGTTTCATGCTCCCCCGGGGTACAGACTTCGTGTACCGACTCGTTCGCCGACGACCTCGAGTGACGTAACAAAACCTGTTTCCCCTTATCGCAGGTCACATCATCTCGGGACTTGGAACATCTGAAAACGTTCCGCCTCTGCCGGAAGACAGCCTGCGACAAAAAAAGGAATAAAGCCCAGACGAGCAGAGGGAATCTCAGTCAGAAAGGGAAAAATAGGCTCAAAGGAGACGATGGAAGCCGTGAGACCGCGGTTTACCATTCGCAAACACTTTCTGGAAAGTGTTTGCTGTTTTCGAAATGACTCATTACCGAAAATGATACGAAGTTGGTAGAAAAATCTCAAAAAACGTAATTTTTCGCTCATCGTCGAGCAAATTAAATTCGAAGCACTCCAGGTTAACCCAATGCATTTTTTTTATATATAAAATAGATAAAATTATATTAAATGATATTTAAGTTTAGCCTCCAATAAATTCTCGATCACTTTAAGGAACAAATCTATTTATTATTTTCATATTATTTACCTATCTATTTTATGATAATTACTACTCGGCTCGTGTCCTTAGCACTCCTACAGGTATTCTCTACTGGGTGCATCTGGAGAGATAAAAATCAGTGCATCATGTCCTCCTTACAAAGGAAATAAAGATGAAAATTTTGAAGTTTCCATTCGCCGAGATTGAAGAGATACGAGGTTCTCAGCACCGTGCGGGCGGCACCACGCCGAAAAGTACGGTTCGTTTTATCACAAGGGACTTTGCCCCCGGTGCTGTTGAACCTGGTATTATCTCTGGATATTGTACATGGGATGGATGAATCGAGATTTATCGAAAATTTCACGATTTTTACGGATTCTTTGACAAAGAAAATAAGGGCATCGGCTTTTCAAAAATTGTATTTGAGGTTTCAAATTTTTTTTTTCCTGAAGAAATTTTTGACGCGTACTGTAAACCCCTTTTTTCGTGTGCATTATTTTCGCGATACCGAATAAGTGCGAATTAATGTCCTGCGAGGTAAACTCCAAGCGAAAAGCAAGTGTCGTGAATGCATTTATGCATGCATTTTTTGTTTGTTTTTTTACTTGTCGCACCTTCACACTTTCTGGCATATTATGCCATTTCCACTCTCTCCCGAAATCTTATTGAAAGTGGCTTCCGAAATTCTGGAAATGCAGAGGCCTTGAAGCTTGATTAGGACGTCCAACAACATGCACATGTATTACATCTATGTCATGCCGTGAAATTGGGAATCGAAAGGAAGTCGTGTCGTTCCTGCGACAAACAGAAGGGGAGAGGGCAACATGCATAGAAAGGAAAGACGTGAACGCGAATTTACGTCTCTCGAAGCAGTCGACTGACCAAAAAAAACGAAAATTTCGCCCCGCGAACAAAGAGTTTAGAGTAAAGTTGTCCCGAAGAGGCCATTTTTTGTGGGAGTACCATTTTGTACCAGCAAAAACACATCCCCTTTCGATTAGACCTCTCTTTTTTTTTTTTTCCTAAAGAACCTACGAGTTTTGTGTATTCCCATTCTACATCGTTTTGGATGATCCCATATACCGTTCCTGTTCTCGTTTCCCACGATTAGCAAGCCAACAATTTCATCCCATCTTAAGATTATTTTGAAATCCAAGCACTTCTCAACTTGAGCTTGATTATAAGGAGGAGGTTAGGAGGAGCAAAAAAATAAAGCCTAACTGAGCTAAGCCGAGTCGAAGAAGCTAGCCTACTCACAGCATACTGCCGCACGAGCAGAATCCATTCATTCGCGCCTAACAGAAATCCTACTGTGATGGGGGATACGAAGAATGCGATGAGACGGGGAAGGGGGGGGGGCGGGGGGGAATAATGGGGTCAAGAGGGAAAAGAGGGGGAGGTGGGGGTTGTGTATGCACGAGAGATTTCTTCAGTTCTGTTCCGAGGAAAATGAACAGATGTTCGGTTCCGGTTGGAATTCGACCTCCACTCCCGCCCCTAATGCTAGAAAAGCAAGCCAAAACCGATAATATCCCTCTGCTTTCCAGGCGTCAAAAAGGGACTCGACTATGGCGCCTGCTGGATCGAGTGAATACTTGGATATTCCGCGTCCATGTCCATGTCCATCTCCGAGCATCGCAATGGAACACCGAAGGAGCGAACAATCCTTGACTGAAGAAAACCGACAAGTGACAGCATAGGAGGACAGGTACCAACAGGCACCATCGATTCCCGCTCACGTTCGAAACCACTCGACCGGCAGTAGATGGCTCTCGCGAGGCAATAGAGACCTCGTCTCGCATTCGGAGAAGGTTTCGGATTTCGGACTTGATTCGTCTCCACCTGCTCCTCGAGTTTCTTCCTTCCCAATTAAATCGAAAGAGCTTTCAATTTTTGGAGAAATCGATTTTTCCAGGCAATGGCTTCGCTCGAGTGCTACAGCTCCGCGTTCTTCATACGTAATCACAATGTTTTAATCACGAGCCAAGTCAAAGCACCTACATCTGCCATCGGAATTTCTCGGAGGAACCCCCGACTCTGACCCTCCCGATGGGAAACGAACGGCAAGGCGATGTTTGCTCGAAGGTATTGGTGCGGCATGCGGCTCTATGCCCCCTGCATCGCCACTAATGCCTCTGCCTGTCTGCGGGGATTCTCCATATCATCTGTCGTATACGAAGCCCGCTTTATTCATTTTAGCCCCCAGTGTAAACCGTCGGAAATAATTAAATGGAACCGTGCACGACTCTGTTGGTAATGGGAAATCCGGAAGAAGGAAGGGGGAAAAGTATATTCGTCGTTTCGGAGCTTGCGAATATATATATTTCTAATTCGTAATAAATTTGGTCCCTGAACGACATCTCTCCGATATCAAAGATTGCAAGTTCATCGCATTTGCGAGTCATTGTAAATGTCGCTTTTCCTCACGAGATCGATGCTTTCGTTTCCGTTTGATTTTTCCCACTGCGAATCGTTTATTTTCACTCGTGCAAATTGAGATTCACACCCGCCTCGCAGTTATTATACACTACGCGACCTCTCAAGGTCTTCGAAGAAGAAATTCCGAAGACAAAAGCGCACGAAACGCAGAACATCTGGATGCAATTGAGATGTCGTCTCGAACCGTTCAGAGGCTGGGAGCTAAGTACGACGCAATGGGAGCCTTGTCCCTCTTCTTTTATCGAGCCTCGTGTGTGGTCCGGGGAAGCGAAGAAAGATCCGCAGTTACCCGCATGCATTTAAGTGACAGACTGGTCTGGCCCTAACCCAAAAATAGCGATCGGAGTCGTGAAATTCGATCTCCTCTCTCTCTCCTCGCGTGTTTCTCTCCCAAAAACCTGGAGAGAGAGCAAGCTCTCCCCTGCAAGCAGATTATTTCCCTCTCGTTATCTGGAGAGGTTCGGTTCCTTCAGTCTCAAAGTGCTCTTATCGAACGCTCGCGACCTCTAAAAAAGTAAAATAAATCCGGACACCGCTTCGTAAAAAAAGGAAGTGCTTCCTGATGCCCGACTCGGCTCTCGAAACCCGCGTCCGGTATCGAGATGAAGTCGAAGGCGATTGAACCCTTGTTCCTTGTGACTCTGCTCCTCCACTCCGTCGCGAAATCGAGCGGGATCCGCGACGACTTCCTCCTCCCGTTCGGCTTGCAGCACGGCGACCAGAGTCTCTTGAGGGAAGTTGACGACTTTGGCAGCCGGGAGATTCCTCTCACCACGCCCATAGTCTTCTATGGACACATTTATCAATCCCTATACGTGAGTCGGTCCTTATTTGAGGGGTGGGGGGGGAATCGAATCTTCTTTCAGTGACTTTGCTTTCTCGATTTTAATTGCATTTATATTTACTTATGCAATTTGTATTCGCCTTGTAGTCATCGTCATCCTCGCAAGATATTGTCTTCCGATTAGTGCATCCAGATGCATAAATGAGCCATTTAAAAGATCTCGAGATGAGAAAGACTAATTCATTCCACTGTATTGCAGCATGAGTAGGCTCTGTCCATCGATGATCGAGTGTACGAACACGGCCTTATGTTAACCGCTAGGTAAATGCCAATGGGATTCTCTCCTTCCTGACGGAAATCCCGAGTTTCTTCAACGTCCAGTTCCCCCTCGATTACCCCATCATCGCCCCTCTCTACACTGACGTGGACACCCGGGCGTCGGGGAGCGTCTTCTTCAGGTCGGAATTCCATCCATTTCACTTATCACCGCGGCAGCCTAGAGCTCTACATAGCACTTGACGCGATCGTATACAGGGAGAGCAAGGAACCGGGATTGTTGGACAGAGTGGAACGAGACGTGAAGAGATTTTTCTCCAAGGGTACAGGTTTCCGACCCCAGTCCTTGATCATCGTCACCTGGAATCGAGTCGGATATTTCAACGCCAAATCCAACAAGGTACGAACAGTCATAAACAAACGACTCCAAACCCCTCGACTCGGTCGGTGAGAGACCCGAACGATGACGGAGTGATTCCTGGCAGGTGAACACGTACCAGACCGTCGTGGCAACAGACGGGAGAGATACCTTCGCGTTTTTCCTCTACCCGAGTGGGGGGATCGAATGGATCCAGGGTGAGGGGAAGAACAAGCCCATGCCAGATGCCAGGGCTCAGGCCGGACTCATTTCTGGAGACGGGAGGATGTATACTCTGCGTGGGTCCGGCACCGATCAAGTCAAGAACCTCGACAAGTAGGGGCAAAATAAGCTCGCCCGGAAAAAGAAAGGGGCATCGTATAGTCGAACTCTGCAGAAGATTTTATCATGGGCTTCTATGGGCCAACGGCTGCTGCCAGTAGCAGCCAGAAGCAATATGTTTCCTAATGGACCCAGACAGAATTTAGGAGTTAAACACCTCAAACAATTTTGCGTGAGGGCTGGGCCCGCTCGTCAGCTTCCTCTTAGCAACCCCCCCCCCCCCTTCCCTCCCCTCCCTCAGGTTGGAGACCTACCCCTGAGCTATGGTCTATCGCCTTCTTCGCTAGCCCAAATGCCCCTCAGGTTCCGCCTATGTTAATGGGAGCCCATGTTCGACTCTTCTGTGGATTTTCGCTGTTCTGTTTTCTCCTGTGTCTGCTTTCACGGTGAAAACACGGTGAAGTCTTTGTGACTAGATGGAGTAACACGGGAACAGCGGGTTACTGGGCATTTCACGTGGGACGAACCGGACTCATCGACAACGTCATGCTCCCCGATCTCGTCAGCCCCCAAAGTGAGACCCAACCATTTCCACCTTTCTCAAGTCAGTCCGTGAAACGCATCCCCCTTGCCACTGCAGAGAGACCCTCCGAAGCGGACAACTGCGTCCTGGGCGCGACCTTCTGCCACAGCGAAGCCCGATGCGTGGACCATTTCCCGGGCTTCTGCTGCGAATGCCGCATCGCCACTTACGGGAACGGCAGGTTCTGCCTCGAATACGGTAATTTCCAAACTCGGATCCGGTCGCGATGGAACGTTCAGGGAATCTGATCGACGCGATGAATTAGGGGAGCCGTTGAGAATGATCGGGAAGGTGTCGGGAGCCGTGAACGGGAAGAGTTTCCAGAATGAGGATTTTCACGGCTACGTGGTGAGCAGCGAAGGGCGTGTCTACACGGCCATCAGCAAGATCCCCGTGGAAATCGGCGCCGATCTCCAGAGCCTCAATGTGATTGGCACGCTCGTGGCCTGGATCTTCGCCATGCCGAGGAACGGCGCCCTCAATGGGTATCAGATCACCGGTAGGATTCTCAGCGAGCCTTTTCCTGTGCTTCCAGATCGGAAACTTCGGAAGATATGATAGTATTTGAATTTTTTTTTCTCGAACACGAGGGGGTATATTCAACCAGAGTGCGACGGTTGAGTTCCCTCAAACAGGTCACAGAATAGCGATGAATCACCGATACGAGGGGATCGACGTGTTCGATCACGTGAGACTGAACATGAACATTTCGGGCACTCTTCCCACCATCCCCAGGGAGAAAGGAATCGAGATCGACGACTACAACGAAGAGTACGTTCATCGCGAACGAGGTGAGCTCATTGCCAGAGGTTCCGCGAGCGCAACCTTTCGCAGAAGTCATACGCTTTGAGGTTCTCTGATTCGAGGGGTGTTGGAGGGGAATTCCCGTTACAAGTTCCGGTTGGAGGGCGAAGAACTGGAGACGGAGGTGGTGGTGAGGCAGACGATCCGATTCGAGGCCTGTCCGTACGGGCCGGCCCGACCTCCTATGGGGCAGACGCTCGCTCTCAACGTGCATCGCAACTTCATCATCTTCGACGAGAAGGAGCAGATCGTTCGATATGGATGCACGGCCAAGATCACGCCTTCTGGTGTCGGTAGGGTCGCTCTCCGTCTCGAGGTATCGCACTCCTCCGATTTCGTTCGGCATAAAACGAGCATTGCATTCTCTAGAGGATGATCCTTGCAAAGAAATGGTATGCGGGCCGAGGAGTATGTGTTTCCCGGAAGGATTCTCCGCCGTCTGCCGCTGCATTGAAGGGTAGAATTTTGGAAAAAGCGAACTTCAGTTGCAGATTTTTTTTAATACTGTAGACTGGATTATAAGAGGAATCTTAGGCCGGACAAGGTCTGCTGCGTATGCTGCGTCTTGTAAACCCACGGGACTCCGAGAAAAGCCATTAATTCCACCAATCATAGCGGAACTTAATAATATCAATACTTGGAATTCAGTCTAGAGTGGAACAACAAAAAAAATGCTGCGACTGAAGCTCCTTGTCGTTACGTGTAATGAGATGAACGTTGCCAAGGTATAAGTGCTCCGAATACCGACAGATATCAGTCGTTGTCGTCATCGGGAAACCAGAGCGTTTGCGTGGACATCGACGAATGCCAAATCGGGAGAGACAACTGCCACCCCGACGCCACCTGCGTCAATCAACCCGGATCCTTCTTCTGCAAATGCAGACCCGGTTTCGCCGGCGACGGACGAACTTGTTCCAGTCGGTCTTCATTACTTCGACACTCGATTTCATCGCATCGACAACGTCCCGAATTCACCTCTACTTTCCTTTCTCTCTGACTTTCAAGAGTTTCTGACCTGCAAAGATCTGGAATGCGGGTTGAATGCAGAATGCGTGGAGGTCCCGGGGGTAGAGGCTGCCTGCCGATGCAGTCTCGGTTTCCAGGGAGACGGATACGTCTGCCGACGATGGCCGGGTAAAAATGGTTACTGGATTCCTTCCCCCCTCCCCACTTTTTCCTTTCCTGTTTCCAACAGAAGATGATGTCAGTTTATCGCCCCGTGCAGGTTCGGAGGTATTGCCAGTCGAGGGAGAATCGGTTTCGGAACAGACTTCAGGGTCGTTGTCGTGTGCAACAGAAGAAACAATCTGCGACCCTTTTGCCAGCTGCATATACGACTTTTCTTCCAAGGATTACAAGTGTCGATGCCGAGACGGATACGTCGGCGACGGCATCGTCTGCATTCAACGTGAAGAAGGTACTTCATTCGGACGTCTGTTTCCCTATTTGATCCATATCGTATAGAGCATGAGATTCATGAAACAAATTTTTTCGGTCGACAGTGCCATGTAACGTGGCGGACAACTGCTCCCCGTCCGCCGTTTGCACCCTGGATATGGAAAGGCTCGGAGAGAGGATATACGTGTGCATTTGTTTACCAGGTTACGTCGGGGATGGGTACACGTGCACTGCGGAAGGTAACAATGCCCTTTCTCTTCATTTTCATCCTCTACAGACCAGAGTATTTGACTAAAAGCAGGAAGGACGTGGGCAAAGACGAGCTATTTCATTAGTCCAATGAGATGGCGCATCTTTGTTTCCGTCACTCCACTTTATTGTCATTTTTGCAATAACGGTTATGCTCGTGACGTCACTTCGGTAACAGACAAACATATCCCCACTTCTAACTGGCAGAGTTGTGCAAATAATTATGGTGTCAAGCGGTGAAGGCATGAGTGAAAGTGATATATTCTCGGAGGGAGAATGAGCAAGATTAATTCTTATGATGGTCAGATCTCACCCTGTGAGGTGAAGTGAGGCTACCTTTGGCAGCTGCCTGAAAATTCTAGGCACAGGGTGACGGATTGCTTGAAATTTCAGTTCTTCAACTTGAAACCGTCAGACATTTTACTAGAATTTATTGTGGGCTAAGAGGTCGCCATACGTTGACTTGCGAAGATTTCGTTGCCATCTTATACTATTTTCGCGTCCTCTAACAGCATCAGATTCTCGGTGGCAACCATGAGTTGGCGCCAAAATCGGGCGTACATTCTTAATAGAAATACAGACGGATACTAAGGGCATTGGGTACCCGACTTGAATCGAATTCGGGTCGTAATAATCCGAGCTCCCAGAGAAATGGAAAAGAGTTAATTTTAACTCTTTCGCCGAGAACATCCATTTTTATGCTTCCTTCTACAATGTCTCACTCGCCGCATGACCCGAAAATCACCGAGTCGGGTACCCTGGCTCCTTCGTTGGACCCACTGGGCCAGCTGCGTCCCTAATTTCCAATGATTCGACACGAAGGAGGGAAAGGGCAGGAGAGTCCGGAGCCTTCGTGCATGGTCGGCATCTGTTGGTGTCCATCAGGGTACATCTACGATGGATCTACCAATAAATGCACTTCCCCAACATCCTCTCGACAGACCCCTGCCAGTGAGTTTCACCATCCCCTCATCTTTATGATAGACGGCTTTAGCTACAGTCACGGAGGTCATTGGATTTGGAGTTGATTTTTAGTGGAATTTTAGGCTTTTCCAAGGGTTTGTCACGGCGTACTCTTTTGGGGGGACTGAATCCTTTTCCATACGATGCAATCCTCGAAGACCATAGAAAGAGCCTCAAATCCCACCAACAATCAACCCCATATTCAATTGTAAAGAAACCTCCCTTTTAACATGACGAAGAGCGCCTACTCACGAAACTTACTACGAATCTCCAGCTTTGCCGGATCTGTGGGGTGGAGACCTGTCCGCGGCTTTCCCGACTTGCTTCCAGGGCTTTTGCTCCTGTCCCCCGGGCTTCTACTATCTCGCCACCAACGGCTCTTGCGTCCCTTCTCAGGGTCATTCACGCATTGCTTCGCTTCCATTCGCTATCTGGCTATGCACTTCGCACCCTAACATGCTTTAGTCTTTTTTGTTTCATTTCACTTTCTCGAATCAAGTTCTTCTGTATCCTTTTACAGTGCCATGCAATGTGGTGAACAACTGTCATCCTCACGCCCAATGCATTTACATGCCAGAAACGGAATCATCCGTTTGCAAATGCAACGCCGGATTCCGAGGCGATGGCTTCCAATGTCAAAGGCTCGGTGAGTTTTTAGTGCCAAACATTGAAATAGGTATTAAAAAAAAATACATTCCCGTGCCGGGAATTGAACCCGGGCCTCCTGGGTGAGAGCCAGGTATCCTAGCCACTAGACCACACGGGATGCTGATGTAAGCCGCTCGTTATATTGGCTTATCAACAGAGTCCTGTGACGACGTCGACATATGTGATATCAACGCCAAGTGCACCTATCAGGAAGCCGAGAAACGGTCCATCTGCGTCTGTAATGAGGGCTACGATGGAGATGGCATCATCTGCTCGCCTAAAGGTAAGAAATAAGGTTATGGAACTTTTGTACAATCGGCTCGTTGCAACACAGTCGAACTTGGTGTGATTCAAACTGGTTTGTACCGATAGTTGTAATGGTGTACAAACGAAATGGATACAACGCAGGAAGATTCTAGAATCCCTTTAGTGTAAGAAACCCCTTATAAAAAGGAGTTGTGGTGACGACACAACAGCAGACGACACGAGGTACTCATAAGAGCAGAGCGGCTTGTTGGATTGAGTGGTGTAATGGCTTGAGAAGAGACGGGATTCGGCAGAGTTCTTTCGTTTCTGATTTGAGTACCGTTGATAGTAAGCGTTATGTTGCATGGGTGAATCAACTAGGATTGAAAGAGGCCCCTTATTTAATCAAACTTGGATGAACCAAAGAAATTAAGATCCTACCAAACTTGGAATGTGTGTATTCCACAACTACCTGATTGAGATCCTCACTTTCGTCAACTAAGATCCTATGAGAGTTGTTTATTTGAAGGTTGTCTGTTACAGCAGGCCATGTACCGGAAATCAACGAATTTAAATTGGATAATGGGATAGTACTGGTCACGGAAAGGATGAGGAGGCAAGGAGGCCTAAAAGTTAGACCTAGAAGCTTAACGTTAGAGTAGGCCTGCGAGAAACGGTCCCGTTCCACCTCTTTACAATGCTCGAAAAGAGACGGGGTGGCATTCTGCCAAAATCAAAATGGAGGGGGATAGGGCGGGATGGCATCTTGGTATCCCCTCAAGGACATCCAGGTTTCACGCGGATATCGACGAAAAGAACAGTTGCGCAGGATCAACCTAGTGCATCGGATGGGTCAGAATAGCCACTCTTTTCCCTGGCCACTTTTTACGTCCTGTCGCTAGATTAGGCCTGGTCTACGAATGAAAATCTGCCCTCTGACTGAAGGACTGATACGGTCGTTCTTCTGCGCCCCTTAACAAAATCATGGTAGAATATATGACAAAAAAATTTTAACGGCCCATGCGACTGTGGTTATTCTGACCCATCTAGCGCGCTAGACGGGGCAAGTGTGAAAGGGGCCGAAGGCTTTGGAGAATACTCTCCCCTTCGGGTTTACCTTCGCTTAGCACAATTCCCCCGCGGTAGGGGAGGGTGGAGGATTGTAAAAGAGGTACTGTTAGTATTAGCCATCCCTCCCAAATCCCATCTCGAGCTGTGTTCACAGAACGATTCGATATTATTGCACAAAAAGACTTGGGCATATTAATCAAATTCAGAATCACTGCACGACTGCGTTCATCATATGCGTAGGAACGTCCTCCAAAGCAGTGGCGTAGCGAGGGGGAAGCTTCAGCCCCCCCAAGTTTGGTTCAAGTCCCCCCAACTCTGGTCGGAATGCTGTCCGCCATCCCCCACCCCCGACAAGGAGAAGTAAGTCCCCCCAACGTTCCGCTTAGCCCCACCATTGACGAAAACCTGGCTACGCCATTGTGCGAAAGTGGGGGGGGGGGGGGGCAAATGAGACTGGTCAATTCTGAAATTCTGAATATTACTTTGTAATTCAAACAAATGCAAATGCAAAACGCATATATTCTCCTTTCCTCGGATTTATTTGCAAAATATTTTAACAATTTATCTAATTCCAAGGAGTCCAAAATATATTGATGTGCATGCACCAATGCGACGTTTGTCGAGCGTGGTTGTGTCGTCTGCATCCAATTCTTGAGCCGCCTCAATGCCGAGAAAGACCTCTCCGCTGATGTATACACAACATACGTAGGACAAAACCGTGTTTTTCGCAAGTATTAAATCCATGGCCGCATATCAAAGTACTTAGCCTTGAAAGCCCTGCCCCTTTTCCAGGGATATTATATATTTTTTTGCGGCTGAAAAGGGCCACTTTCACCAACATGCACAGGTACCAGTGTAATCTTGTCCGTAGGGACAACCAATAATACCATTGAAGTTTTCCATTCCTGAATTTTCTTCATGTTTTGCTGTCTTTGGTTTTGTAATGAAATCAAAAAGCGTTCCAGTTTGAGCACTTCCCTTCCGTGACATGGCACTCAACCTCTATTCACTGTTCTATCATTAAAATGTTTCAAGTCTTACTTATGACCGAAGGGGACTTACTCCAGAACGTCTCTTTTTTCCAAGCAAAGACTTAAGAGGAGGGAGGAGAAGTTTAATCGGATGGGAGATCTTGAACCTGAGACAAAAAAGAACTCCTACTGGGCGCCTATCAAGTGTGTCCTACCACGCCAATCCCCCTCAGGCATTAACCTTGCTTCAAGCTAAATTTACTTTTCAAACCCTACTGAATGTCACGAAGGATCTGAAGTTGCAACGGTTTCAGTGATCATCTGATTAAGCAGATTCTCTGGAAATAGTATTTTCTTCATTCTCCACTATCTGGCTGGGGGGGGGGGATAGGAACGGAGGAGTGCGAATTCAATCCGAAAACATCGAATGCCACATTACAGGCAGAAACATCTGTAGACTATTTCTTTCAGACTACAATGATCGTACTCTCCATAAGTGATGGCTAAAGCGTATCCTTTCTGTAGATGAATGCTTGACATCAATTGGCTGCCATCAACATGCGGAGTGCGTCTACGATCCCTCGTCCTTCAAATATAGATGCCAGTGCAAATACGGCTTCGAAGGGAACGGCAAGAATTGCACTCCCAGCGAAGGTTCGCCTTGCTGAAAAAAAATCCTAGTGATAGAAACCCAATTTTATTCCTCATATGTTTGAAGTCACTAGTAACGGATGGGTTATTACAGAAGCGGGCTGCAATATCATCGACCGATGCGACCTGAACGCGGAATGCCGATACGACGCTGTGGCCCTGAATTACCATTGTCAATGCAACGAAGGTTACGTTGGGGATGGGTACAAATGCGAACTCAGTCGACTCGGATGCAATATTCACAAGGATTGTGCTGAACATGCGGAATGCATTTACGATCTCCGCTCTCAAGGTTACAGGTGCACCTGCCAAGAGGTTTGTCTCTGTCGTTGTGGGAATACCTTTTTTTTCCATTTTTCAGCAAGATCCCCAACAACTTCAGAAGGTGCTAATAAATAAAAACCGTTGTTACCGAATGCTGTAGGGTTTTAAGGGAGACGGATACACATGTCTACCGTCTCAAACGTGCTACGAAAACCCTGCCGTTTGCCACAAGAATGCTGTGTGTGTTCCTGGTGCCAGAGGGGAATCCTATGAGTGCCGGTGTACTGAGAGATACAAGGGCGATGGGTACTCTTGCACAGGTAAGCATATGAGAGATTTATGTTTACTGTGTACAGGTTCACATGCACTGGATGGCATGCTATTCTGCAAGGCATTTCAATGACAATGAAAAATGAGGCTATAAGCTTTTTTTTTTTAAGATTTATTTTAAATTTATATTTTCTGTTTGCAGAGTCACCCAGACTGGAATCGGGATTCCTGCTGGTTGGTCAAGGTATCTCCATCCTAAGAATTCCATTGGATGCTTCTCCATTCAATCCCGGGAGACCCATCATCATCAATCCACTCCAGACTGCAGTTGGTAAGGACTTTTATGCTTCATTCTACTTTTTGCTCTCTATCCTAATGGCTAACTGCTAAACAAAACACATTTTGGAATTGAGGGTTGGACATCGATTGCCAAGAAGGACGACTGTACTGGAGCGATGCATCTTCTGGAGTCATCCGATCTGCGAATTATAACGGCTCAAACACTGAGATTCTCATCAATTCAGGTTTGACATTTCCTAGTGATCCTGTTGGGGAAAAAAAGCATGAGGATGAGCTTACCGAAATGACCACATAGTTTAGCAATAATATCAGCATATGAATAATACGAATTTGATTTTCTTCTTTATTCACAGCATTCTCATTGTCTTGTTCAGCAGGGGTGGTATATAAAAACAAATTTTTCAGTTCACATGCATAGGATAGTCGTATTTCAAGGCCACTATGAGCAATGCGTGTCATTTCGCCATCAGGTAGACATCAAGGCGTGGACGTAGAGGATCCACCCTAAAGATAATTTAGTTGATTCAGGCCTTGGTGTAGGGTATACCTTCCCTGTTATCACTTTTGGTCTTCAGTCTGTGCAAAACGTGGCCTTTATAGAAAAGAGCATGCAGCATGATCAAAATATGATGAGTGAGGATTCTGCCAGAAGTAAGTAGGTGAAAAAGTTGGGATTTCAACAGGAAGCATACTTTTCCATAAAGAAATTCCATTTCCATTAAAGAAATACAAGCTTCTATAGAATGCATTTACTATCGTTGCTCTCCAGATGGCAGAAGCGAATAGATTTGAACAGTGATTATTACGAGGGCTAAGGGAGGCGTGATGTCTCTGAGTACAGATTTTGGTAGCGATGAAAACAACGGTTTAGTTTTTATTACATGTTTGTGGAAACTTCTTGGACACCCCTCATACTTCTTCCAGCCTGGAAATTGATGGTTTTGTACCTGATTCTTTAAGAATGTGAATTCACAAACTTGTGTGTTTCTTCTAATGGAATAGTCTGCTTTGCAAAGTTACAGCCATTCAAAACTATAAAAAAAAAGATTGTAAATCAACCATTGTGCACAAAATAGGGTTAAAATGTCTGGGAACTTCTCCAGATGTTAAAAAACTGAGCCCATCCTTAATTTATTTGAGGGACCCATGAAAGTTACAGGAGCCACTCAAGCCTCTCAGATGGCTAGGAAGACCAGCTAGTTCCATCTTATTCCAACCAAAACTTATATGGGATCCAGCTGGAATTTTTGCCTGGGAAAGGGGGACGTCTTTCCAGCATGACATTCCCTTTGCCCACACCTGGCTTAGAATGGAACCTGTGAAAGGTTCCAACCTAGTTGTTTGGAAAATTTTCATTTTCTGAATTCTCAATGCTGCTTTAATTCCCCTCAGATGCTTTCCTGAGTCCTTAGGGTTTTAGCCTATTACATCTTCAGTTTTCATGAAAACCAAAAATGTATATAATTATATGTATTATTTATTATTTTACACACGTGTACAGTATAGAAATCGATCTTTTACTGTAAACATCTATGGGAAAAAATCCCTCATTCTGTGGACAGGACTGAGTTCACCTGAAGGATTGGCTGTGGACTGGCTTTCCAAACTTATATACTGGACAGATTCAACCAAGGATACAATTGAGTTTACAAGCATTGAATCTGGCAGGAGGAGAACTCTTCATTCTGAAAACCTGGTGAACCCAAGAGGTATCGCTCTTCACCCTGGCAGGGGGTAAGATTCCTTTTTCATATATTGTACAAGAACACATTCAGGTTATCTTCTTGAACACTTCAAGGGAAAGGCTCAAAGCTATTGTTGATAGTAATTTACATTTAATTTACATTTCAATAATTCAGGGTTCCCTGAAAACCTAGCAAGTGTGTGGGGTTAACATACTTTCCCTTCCAGGGATTAGGCCTACACCTGTAATCCCCCTCTCACGAATAAACCCAGTCACCCCACTTATCTTCCTCCATGCAATCCTTCCCCAAGGCTGAAAAGCTGTGCCACCTGCCTACATCAATAATTTTCTGCAGGGAAGCCTGAATAATGGGAGTGAAAAATACAAAAGATTGCAATTTCGTTTTTAAATTAACACTTTGTGTACGGGTCACGTAGAAAACCATAATTATCTGCCCCAGATATTTTACAAAAATTTACAAAATGAAGCAAATTACATGAAAAAGCTGTACTTTTTCACACAAGCACATGAATGCACCAGAGCAGCACATACACATCAGGGAGATAATGCACAGTTCTCCATGATATATATGCGATTGGATAAATAACAGCTTTCTACATGACCTGTACCAAAGTGTTAAGCTTTTACTGGTACTCCACAGGCTAACTGCAAAATTATAAGAAGTCAGTGTCTTTAAATATAGGACAAAGCAACAAATATTCATCTCAGGCAGGTGTACTGGAGTGATTGGGATCGACAAGACCCTCGAATAGAGAGATCAGCCATGAATGGAGAAGACCGGAGTGTAGTAGTCCGGGAGAACTTGGCCTTGCCTAATGCTCTGGCTGTTGATTATGAGTATGAAGACCTGTGCTGGACTGATGCTGGAACTCAGCTCATCAGTGAGTCCAATATTTGATAATTGACAAAGCTTTCAGAAAACAGTGAAAATTGTGTCAGTGTATCAGCAAAACAATTCCTCTCCAGAATGTCACAATTTGAATGATGGCAGAACTCGACTAATAGGTGAATCTCCATATCCCTTTGGTCTGACTCAGATGCAGGGTAGCTTCTTTTGGACAGACTGGAAAAGGTAACCTTGGTTCAACTCTGGTACAAGTTAAGGTAAAAAGTACTGATGCTAATGTTGAGATGAAACTGTTCTTGCAGGAAGGCAATATTGAGAGCACCAAAGCTTGGCCTCTTGGATCCAATCCAGATGCAAGTTCCATTTGGTGGTGCAGGGGCCTTCTATGACTTGGTTGCTGTTCCTGATACCTGTCCTGCAAGTAAGAGACTCTCTTTGAACTTTCTTGATAGTGAACAGAGGATAAACAGGAGAAAGATTGGGTAATTATTGGGTAAGAAATCAGCAAGTAATGCCATTTTCAAATTTTCCAGTGACAACTGCTTGTCAATATGGAAATGGAGGGTGTGACACTCACCAGATATGTGTCCCAAACACAAGGGGAGACCGCAGCTGCTTATGCGGGGACACACCAAGAGATGGTGATCCTGTCTGCGGAGACCTCTACTGATGACATCAGTCTTTGTTCACACTTGATGTATATAATTTGGTTACCAGTCTAGTCTCAATTCACCGTGACTTGTTCCTATTCACTGTCTTTGCTTCAAAAATGTCAATCTTTGGCCTGCCTCCAAGGGATTATGTTCCAGATGCAGTTAGTTGAATCAAAAAGAGGCATAGTACACACAAAAGTTCAAAATAAATGTATTTCCCGCTTTGCAGTTTGTGCACAAAGTATATTTTGAGCAGACATCATCAGAATAGCATGAATGGCATGCCCATTATTTCCATTGGTATACATTGCATAAAAAATGTGAGAACAGACTAAAGAGATCAAGAGAAAAAATGTCTAACATGAATATTTTGCAAGGTGTTAGTAGAGGTCTGCAGGCTTCAATCTCAACAGATATGAACATGTCTAAATGAACCATCACACTATAAACACTTAGTGATACATTGAGATTCCCAAAAATTTTGAATTGAAAATTACTGTCCCATTGGGGTCTACTAGTCAGTTTGTTAAGGTGAAGTTTAAAATAGAGCTCTGATAATCTAACTCATCCAGGACTGGGAGGTATCCACCTGGAACCTATCTGAATGCTTCAAATTTAAATGCATCTAATGCTCAAAATGAATCAATACAAGGAAGAAAGTTAGCATCACAATGAGTTTAGATGGATATAAAAATAAGCCACAAGAATATAAACTTGAAACACCCACATGCTTTTCATTCTCAACAACATTTAAGATGAATGAAAAAAAAATACTACAAGCAATCATTTGAGAAAGTTGAGAAATAAATTACTTGAATGGGATATCAAAAGCCATAGGCCTAGGCAGAACTCAGAGGGAAATGCAATCTGAAAAGAGTGGGTGACATACAACACCTGAGGTAACTTTTTGACTAGATGGTGTTTAGGACCATGACAAAGACCTCAAGAATGAAAGGAAAAAAGAATAAGCAGGGAAGAGCAAGTGATATACAATAAGATTCACCCCTCTGTGATCCAGAGAGGACGATGGATGCCAAGGTAGTTGAAGGCAATTGGAGCAATGGCTAGAACAAAAGTTAATGATCCAAAACTGACCAACTTATAAACAGTTTCAATGAGTTTGTCTTCGAAGGTTGGAACAGAAGCATCATCCAGAGAGAAATCCACTTGAAAAATTGAACAAAGGATTGATATGGTGACTGCTTTGGTAGTTTCTTTGACAAAGATTGCCACCCCAAGGCCTATAGTCATGCGCAGCATGATGAAAGATAGCTCTGTGAAAGAAGGCCAATGGATGGGGATAGGACTGTCATACAAAGTGCGTTCAGTCCAGTTGCAGTGACTAGTCACCCATGATCCCAAAAGAACCATGGATCCAATGCATAGCAGTGCTGCTGTATCTCCCCTGAAACACATAAACACAAGTAGAACATGAATTTTCATTCATCATGACAATTACATCTTGAGTAGATATTAACAGGGTTTAATGTCATCCACCTAAACTATAAATAAATCTTTCAAATACAGGTAGAGTTACATTCAGATTCAAGAGTGAAATAAATGATGGAATGGAACTATTGCTGATAGTTGAAACTTTGAATATGCAGGACAATCCTAAGACTATGAATTCATCGTTTAGATTTGCATTTTTTCTTTTTTTTTTGGGTTTACCAAAATATCCTGTCTATAATAAAGTGTCCTTTCCTGTTCTCTCTTGTTTCTCCTGTTCCTCTTTATGGAAACAGTTCACTGTTGGAAGAAGCCTCCCTGTCAGTTTTGATTCCTCTGTTTGCTCCTGTACTCTAGATAAAACCGGACCTAGATCTTTCAGTAATTGAAATTCTCACAATTTTGACAATTTCACACCTTTTTCATATAGTTCTGTAAATTTCCCCAAACTGAAAACTGACAAAAATAACTAATAAACTTTAGATGCATACACATAAATAATATTACTCTCTGCAGCAGCCACCAGCTGTGGGCCTGAAAATGTAAGTAGAAGTAAAAGTGCCAATGTTTTTAAAGTCTCAAGACTCTTTCTAACAGATTTTTGTCAAATGTGAATAAGATCCCATCTATTTTGCAATGTTTTGTAACTCATTACAGGACTTGAACCATATTTCCTACTTATGTATTGATGTTTACTTCTGGAATATAATGGTAGGCCTACTCCATTTTGTCTGGATCACATAATCTCATATGAAATTGATACATTGAATAATTTGGGCGATAGAATCCATCATCTTCAACTCACTCTGTCAACAATTGATTTATAAAAATACTTGTGGAACCACATGAGACTATAGTAAATGGCTAAAGGCCACAAAATTACCTTCTAATACCAGCATCATTTAACCAAAAAATACTAAGACAGAACACATTCAACCCACACAGCACAGGTATATCCCGAAGATATCCCAGAGATATCCCCTTGGGACAAGTGCGATGTCCCAGAGACAAGGAGTAGGGACATCTTAGGGATATCAAAATGTCTGGGCCC